GCCCTAAACCTTAAAAAAAAAAAATAATATATATATATATATATACATATAAATATATATATATATATATAGACAACTCCCGCACCCCAAACCCTAGACCCCAAACCTAAACAAACCCCCCAAACCCGCTAAACCCCCCCTCAACCCCCTAAACCCTAAAGCCTGAACCCTTAACCCCTAACCCCTAACCCTAAACCCTCAACCCCAAACCCTAAACCCCAAACCCCCCAAAACCCCAAAAGCTCAAACAGTAAACCCTAAACCCCTCTAAACCCCAAAAGCCCAAAACCTTAACCCTAAACCCCAAAAGCCTAAACCCCAACTCCTAAACCCTAAACCCTAAACCCTAAACCCCAAAAGCCCCTCAAAAACCCAAAAAAAGCCCTGTTTTTTTTTTAACTCCGAGCCGCCAGTCCCTTGAGGCCAGTCTCCTCGCTCGGGCCAGGCGCGCCTCGCAGGGCCCCAAAAGGCTCGGAGCTCTCGGCAAATGATACGAAAAGCTTCGGGTTTTAAGGGTTTTATAGGGTTTGGGGTTTAGGGTTTAGGGTTTTTTAGGGTTTTATAGGGTTTGGGGTTTAGGGTTTAGGGTTTAGGGTTTTAAGGGTTTTATAGGGTTTGGGGTTTTATAGGGTTTAAGGTTTAGGGTTTAGGGTTTAGGGTTTTAAGGGTTTTATAGGGTTTGGGGTTTTATAGGGTTTAGGGGTTTTTTTCCAGGGTTTAGGGTTTTATAGGGTTTGGGGTTTTATAGGGCTTGGGGTTTTATAGGGTTTGGGGTTTAGGGTTTAGGGTTTAGGGGTTTAGGGATTATGGGCTTAAGGGTTTTATAGGGTTTGGGGTTTTATAGGGTTTAGGGTTGAGGGTTTAGGGTTTTATAGGGTTTAGGGTTTTAGAGGGTTTAGGGTTTAGGGTTTAGGGTTTAGGGTTTTAGAGGGTTTAGGGTTTTATAGGGTTGAGGGTTTAGGGTTTTATAGGGTTTAGGGTTTTATAGGGTTTAGGGTTTAGGGTTTTATAGGGTTTAGGGTTTAGGGTTTAGGGTTTAGGGTTTTATAGGGTTTAGGGTTTAGGGTTTAGGGATGAGGGATAATAGGGTTTTATAGGGTTTCGGGTTGAGTGTGTAGGGAGTACCTTCCATAACCTACTTCCTGGTTGGTTCCGATGAGAAATCCTAACCACACACGGGGCTCTATATAACAGTTGGTTTTGGTAATTAAAGGTAGGGCTTAGGGTTTCAAGATCTTTCAAGCTGATAGTTCTGTAGGCGCGCTATGAGTTTAGAGCTTAAGGCTTAATTAGAGGATCAGGGTACTTAGTAAGCAGATTATAACTATAGAGCCACATATGTAGGATAACCCCACGCGGTCCACCTGAATAAGCATAGGCCCAAATCCACTGCTTAGAACCCCCCGGCTCAGTCCCATGATCCAAAGCGGGACCCTAAACCCTCAACCCTAAACCCTCTACCTGGGCTCCATGTGCGTGTGGAGTTTGGGCTTTAGAGGCTTCAAGGCTATTTATGATCAGCACGGCTTAGGCTTAAAGGGTTTTGCTTAAGAGGTGTAGGGAGCATAGAACTAGTATCCCTAATTATTCCGATCTCTATATATTGCACGCCTGGCGAAACCGAGACTCTCTTAGAGATTATGGGCAGATTCGAGACATTGGAATCACGCAGGGACAGTATAGGTTGGCTATCTTAGTAGTATAAAACGATTTACGCTCCCTGAATTCCTTGGGCTCTACACTGAGACCGGTACAGTAGGGCCTGAAGTGTTGTAATATATAGGCCTTGCTGATTAAAGGGTTTTGAGGTTTTAAACATATGCACATAAAATAAAAAAATATAACCAAGACCCCTAACGAACCCGATTTTGACAATTCAGGCTTCCGAACGTAGCGCAGCAAGCAGGTTATACAGCAAGTGGCACCTAAACCAACCCCAACCCAGGCGCTTCTAACGCCGCAGGTAGCCTCTTGTGAGTCATCCCGGATCCCTTACTCCAAAAAACCCTACACGTGATCCTCCTAAACCCTAAACCAAAAACCCTAAACCCTAAACCCCTAAACCCTAAACCCCTAAACCCTTTTCCCCTTTTCCCCTAAGCCCTAAACCCCTATACCCCTAAACCCTAAACCCCTAAACCCCTAAACCCCTAAACCCTTTGTAGCCTCTAGGTTTCATGGGTGGCTTGGGGTGCTGAAGCAGAATGGGTTGAAGGTTATCACCTCAACCCTAAGTCCTTAATCACCCCTAAATGTTAGGGTTTAGGGTGTACCTGGACCCTAAAGAACCTACCTTTTTAGGGTTCCTTATTATGATTTCTTTATATAAGTCCTTACAAAGGTTAAGGTAGGGTTGCCCTAAACTCTAGGCCGTATCCAAGACACCGAGCCAGCCGAAGTAAGCAAAGCACCTTCGACCTTGTACTTGTACGCTAAACCCTAAACCCTAAACCCTAAA